GGTCTGGAATTTGCTGGAGCCAGGCAGGGAATGATGATGGAATGATGATGGAATGGTGGATTCAAGCTCCTTTTTCACCTGAGTGCACCTCCAGCTTCTCCTTCCCTGAAACTAAAGAAAGTATTTTGGATTGAGCTCAGATTTTGAGCTGTTAGGTTTTGTTGCAGAAGAATGGGAATCTGGGGGTCTGGAGTGTACACTCTGGTTTGCCAGTGAGGTGCTGGCTGGGAAGTTTTCCCTCTGTTAAATCCATGCAGAATCCTCCTTTCCTCCTTGTACCTTGCTGGATTTGGCCACCAGCTTGGAGATCTACTTGTACCATCCTTCAGTGGGTTAAAAACTGTCAGCTTTCCCTCTCCAGACACTGTATTGCCCTTTCTTCTCTGCTGATTTTGGCCTTGCTAATTTTAAAGGGAAATCCTTGAATCCCATACAATGCTCCTGAATTTTAACCCCTGGCCCACGGATGGTTGCAAGGCAGCTCTTATGATACAGAGATTTTTCACACCACACAAATGAGGCAAGAAAGAAAGAGATGGGAACTGGGAGTTATTTTTAAGGGCATTTCAGGTGTCACCTCTCTTCTCCATTGGCTGCCAGTGAAGGAAGTGGCACACAAAGAGCCTTTGGGATTTTAATTGTTGTTTTCAGGTTAGCTGGACTGATGGACTGATGTTAGGGTGGAACAAGACCTTTGGATCTCACTTGGCCCAGCCCCAGCTGGTCCTTAGCTGTTATTTTAAAGCAATTTAGTGGTTTTTTTTCCAAGAATGATGGAAAATACTGGGCTCTAACCTAGGCCCTTATCCTAAGACAGGATCAAGTATTTTCTCCTGTCATTCCTGTTACACATTTCTCCGACTTGGATCTCAAGGAGATCTCAAGGAGTCCCCCGGGAGCAGGGACTCCATCCTGGTTGTGGGTAATCCATCTCACACTAAACTAATCTCACAAGGAGGATCTCCCCTGATAGCAAGAAAAACTCCCAGTATCAACAGAATCAAACAATATTTATTGTATTGATTTTATCAGTCACTGACCCTGGTTTTTTCTGGGCTGTTGGGATCATTAACTCTGGGCTAATGAGGGCAGCGTTAAGAGGATGCGGCACTGGGGAATGATAAGGAGAGAGGATGGAGAGGTAAATCCAGGTCCCTCCTAGGTCTAGAGTTAATCACTGCTGTAGGGCCCTTTCCCACTGTGAATCACATCCCATCACATCATCCCATGTGAACCAACCCCAGGCATTTCCCTCCCTCCCAGGAAATTCTGACCAGAGAAATTCCTCGTGCAGCAGAGTGGTGAGGGAAAGGAGGAGAAAATGCGATATAATGGGCCACAATATGGTGCTACCTATAAATATTTTACCAGGAAAGGTATGCAACTGGTATTTTGAACAAATCCCCAGCCACAGTTTTAATAAAGTGCCTTTAGCTGCCACTCTGCCGTGTTTAAATCTAATTCCAGTTGTCAGTCAAATCGCTGTGTGTTATTAACCTATGGGCATAATTGCCTATTCCAAGTCTGCAGCTCTAAGAGGCTTTATGTATGATTGTAATAAATGAAATAACTTCTATGATTCCAGCTCCTGGCTGAACACATTGACATTGGAAATTACACATGCACACGCATCACTTTTGTCTCTCCCTGGATGAGAGCTTCTGTGGCTGTGGAGGAAGGCCTGGGTGAGCAGGGAAATGACTGAGCTTTGCATTAGCTCATCCCTACAGCTGGTGCCACATGGAAACACTTGGTCTGAAAAGGCGAAATCTCCATAAAAATAAGTGAATGCTCACAGAATTGCCACCGTGTGCATCAACGGCAGAGAAATCCTCGTGCGCTGCTGTGGTTTAAGGGATTTCTAGCAGATTTTAGTCCCTAACCTCTTCCCTCTTCCCCACCACATCATATTTTGTGCCTGTAGGAGGAATTTATGCTGCAGGAGACATTGGCTTGTTGGTTTATTTTTCAGTGCTCACCACTGGGGCAAGGGGAACATGACATTCAAAAGGCAGAGGCAGCATTTTCTAGCCTTTTTGTGCTGCCAGAAAAACACAGCAGAAGTGAAGGGTTGCTGACCACTAAATGGTGTAGGTGCTGTGAGTAACAGGTCCCTAAAAGTATCATCTCAGCTTCTCTGGTTATGGCCCTCCAAGCAGTAATTTATTGTTCAGTATGGAGAAATGAAGGCACTGGAAAGACTTAGAATCCCTTCCAGTGGCTAAAGGGATCCAAGAGAGGGACTTGGGACAAGGGATGGAGGGACAGGACACAGGGAATGACTTCTACTGCCAGAGGGCAGGGATAGATGGGATATTGGGAAGGAATTCCTCCCTGTGAGGGTGGGGAGGCCCTGGCACAGGGTGCCCAGAGAAGCTGTGGCTGCCTCTGGATCCCTGGAAGTGTCCAAGGCCAGGCTGGATGGGGCTTGGAGCAATCTGGGATAGTGGAAGATGTCCCTGCCCATGGCAGGGGGTTGGAATGAGAGGTTCTTCCAAGTCTTTTCCAGCCCAAACAATCCTGTGATTGTGTGAGTTTATGAATCTATCCAATCTTGTTGAGGAGCTCAGGATCTGCCCCTCCAACTGCAGAGCAGCCATCAGAGCGCAGCCAATCTCTGTTCTTCTTCATCCTCTGCAATATGGGACCTTGTGCATCAGATCAGCCCCATTCCCACCCAGCCCTGGCTCCCTTTTCCCCATGTGCAGTGGTTTCTTTGGCTCTGCAGAGCAAAGCAAGCAAGAATCACTCCAGGCACTGGGATATCACAGCAGCACCCCTGCCCCGTAACCACAGCACCAGCGGGGACCATGAGCACACACAGCTCTGCAGATGCCATGGGAACATTGGCCTGGCATTCCCAGCCATGCAGGGAGTGCTGGACCCACCTTCCAGCTCCAGGGTGAGATGTGGGTCCCCTTTCTCCCAGCCTCTGCCCCGGGCAAAGCTCACTGGCTTTGCTCCTTGGGGTTCTCGCGGTCGCACCGCGCATCTCCGCAGTGCTGATCCATTGGGGCCTTCCAGCACAGCTCCTGATGGGAATTAATCTAATGGCTGCTCCACTCTGGGCATTTGGGAGAAATGTATTTTGAGGGGATGCTTTGGGATGTCTCAGGACAGGGTGGCCTCGTTGTGTGGAAGGATCAGTGAAGCGCTGTCCCCGCTCCTCAGGGTGCCCCGTTCAGCCTCCCTGTTTGACCCCTTAATTTCCCGTAGTGATGTCACCGAAATCCCTGCTCGTGGTCGCGCTGCCGGGCTAAATTTAGAGTGTTTGAGATGATTTGTGACTCTGTTGCTGGGGGGAGGCGGGGCGGGGGGGGATGTCGGGGAATGACATGTGAGTCCTGTGTCATTGAGGCTCGTTTGGGCTTTAAAGACGGTGGAGTGGAGCGCGGAGATGACAGCGCTGTCCAGGAAGAGCAGGGAGGAAAAAGGAGATGGGACTCTCGGCCCTTTTTATAGTCTAACCAATTTAATTGAGCTCGTTGCTAAGCTGAGACATTAGGAAAGGATTTTCCCCTCGAAACCTGATTAGATTTCCCAATAAAACGCCCACTTTGACTGCTGCTGCTAGGAGATGTGTTGGCTTTTGGTTCATGGAGGTGCACGGCATAAAAATAAACGGAAAAAAGGAGCTGGATGCTGCAGGGATATGAAGCAAAAGATCTTTCTACATGGAGACCATCATCCTGCTCGGGACTAGGTGAACAGTGGGGCTGGCACTCGACAGAGATCTGGGAAATGAGGGAAACAGAGGAATTTCCCACATCTTCCATTCCACCTCCCTGCTGGAGCCGGAGCATCTCCAGCCCAACCAGTGCTGCAGTGGCGAACGAATCGGTCAGGGGTGGGCGTGGGCAGGGAGAAAAAAACCAGCATAAAATTGCAAATGGAAGGATCATTGCCCCCCACAAATCCTCTCCATCCACCCCTTCCCTCTGCCCACGGGATGGGTGCCCCTGGGTCCCTGTCCCCAGCCCCTTCTAGCGCACGACCTTGAGGGCCAGACGCCTGAAGGTTATTCGGGGGCATTGCTGTGTTAATCAAAGCTGCTTAATTCCCCCCATAATCCAAGTGGGGACGGAGCCTGGCAGGTCCCTGCCGTTATGTTTACATCGGACTGCGGGTGGAGGGAGGAAGGAGGGGACAGGGAGGGAGGGGGGAGCTGACGTGCTTGGAATAAAACCATGCTACCTCCTCCTCCATCCCTCAGCGAAAAAATCAAACGCATCTGTCCACCCCCCCATCCCCCCCCCCCCGTTCCAATTCCCTTCCCAAAGTGTCCACCCCAAAGAGGAGGGGCTGCACTGCAGCTCATCTCAAGGGGGCAAAGGTCTTGGAGGAAACCCCCGACCTGATTTATTCAGGGCACAGCAATATTTCTTGGGATTAGTATTAATAAGAGCCTCCTGCCCCCTCCTCTCCATCCCTCTGGGCTGAGCCCGAGGGAGGCAGCCGGGCCCCGCCGGGGGTACCAGGCCTTTGGATGCACGGTGATGGCGTCTCTTCATCCCGGCCATTTCACAAGACAGAAAACAGGTTGTGTATTTATTTGGGGTTATTTAGGTCTTGTTTTCCTCTCCCATGCCGCAGCTTTAAAACAAAATCCATCCTGTTTGTGAGGGCCGGGCGCTGTGGGGCTGGCGGTGCCGCAGAGGGATGTTCTGCACGTAGTGCGGCATGGCAGGGATCTGCCTGCCGAGATGGGGGCAATCCCAGAGAGAAGGCACCCCCAAATCTCTTTCTTTTCCCCCCTTTTATTCACTACACAGGAGCCCTCTGGCTGTTCAGACCCTCCTGGAGGTCCAGGATGCAGCAGTGCCCACCCAGGGTTGAGCAGGTGACCGTGGGCTGCCGAATTGCAAGGCTGAGGTTTTTATTTTGGGGCGGATTTTAACATTCATCCCCCACCTGGTGCTGAGTGCGGGTCCTTCAGGGGGGGTCCTGCCACCGCCACCGTAAAGAGACGGGCGAGAAACCTCCAGGAACAAAGGAGAGGATGCAGGAACCCGCAAGGAAAGAGCTTTATTGGCACGACCCGACGGGCTCCTTGCGGCATCCGCACCGGCCGGGATGCGAGCCCAGGGGGAGGGATGGCCCCAAATACCTGCAGAACCCCTCGGCGGCTGCAAAGAGGCGTCCCAGGGAGCCCAGGCTGCTGTCAGTGTTCCCAAGGGCACCATTCCAGAGGTGAGGCTCTGTGCACGGAGCTGCAAAGAGAGATGGGACCCCCCACGCTGTCACCGAGGGCCCCCCGAATTTGGGACAGCTCTGCAGATGCCCTGAGGGGTGGGGGACTGTCCCCTGCAGTGAGGCCTGTCCTCCCCCAGTGCCAGGCACCTGCTGGGAGCACTGGGATGGGCCGGGATGAAGGGATGCAGGGCGGCCTCCAGCTGCAAAGAGAAGGGAGGGGAGGAGAGGGATGGGAGAAGGGAAAGGAGGTGAAGGGCCCCAGCGGGGAGCAGGGCAGAGCGGTGGGGATGGCTACAGGGGTGGAGGGGGAAAAAAAACCCGAAATAAAAATAAAAGCGTGAAAAAGAAGGGGAAAAAGAAAGCAATGGCGTGTCGGGGGGAGGAGGGGGGAGCAGCCCCTGTGCTGCAGAAGGCTCTGGGGGGCACCTGCTCCGTGTTAGGCCGCGGGGTCGCAGCATCCCTGCGGGGTCGCAGCATCCCTCCCTCCCACCGCCTCCAGATTTTTGAATTTTATTTTATTTTCTGAATAATTCAGGTGCTGTTTCTCCCCCCTCTTCATCCTCCCCCCCACCTCCCCTCGGCTCCTCGCACACACACGCCTCTCGCCGGGGCTGTGTAAGGAGTATAATGAGGCAGCCGATGGGTAATTGGGATCTTTTGTAGGGAGGATGTATGGCTGGGGCAGCTGCTGGGGGGTGGGGGGCAGCTGGGGGGGGACAGCATTACCATACAAAGGGAACAAATGACATGTTTATCCCTCTGAGAGATTTACGCCCGGCCTCGCCCTGCAGACACAGCGCTCCCCCCTTCTTCTACCCGGCACTTTTGATTTAAATTATAAGGATTAAAAGGAGAGGGAGGGCGGAGGGGAAAAACACACAAACAGCCACCGGAAAAAAAAAATCATAATAAAGCTTTTAAAAAATAAAGAAAAAAAGCGGCTTTGCCTCAGTATGGCCCCCCCACCCGCCTCCGCCGGGGGAGCAGCGTGAGCCCCGGTGACCCCAAGACCTGCCCTTGCTTTTAGCAGGGAAAAACCCCATCGCTCTGTGGAGAAAAGGCGAGAGAAAAGGCAAAGCACAAAGCGGCGGCAGCGGAGCAGCCCCGGGGACAGCAGCCGCGACCCCTCCCCGGGGACAGCAGCCGCGTCCCCCCGGGGCCCACCCGCGGGGCACCCCCGAGTGACAGCTCCGGATTCCACACCCCGGGCTCCTGTACTCGCCAGGACCCCCTCTCCTTCATCGCGGAGAGCCCCCCTAATGCTGCCGTGCGTCCCCATCCCATCCCAGCGCATCCCATCGCATCCCGTCCCATGCCGTGCATCCCTCTCCGCCCCCTCCCCGCGCTGCGGTGCCACCTGCGCCGGTGCGCAGCGCTGCCTGCGCGCCCCGCGGCCGAGCTCGGGGGATGGAGGGGGCGATGTCAGGGGGTGCGGGGGGTTCCGCGGGTGCGGAGAGCCGCGGAGCCGCCTCCGGCCTCGATGCTGGTCAGCCTCGTTCTTGGCATTCACCGCGTGCCTTAATTGTATGGACATTTAAATCAAGGTCCGCTGTGAACACGGAGAGAGGGGCCTTTCCTCGGGAAGGATGAAAATATAGAGAAGGAGAAGGGGAAACGGGAAAAGAAAAGAAGAAAAAGGGAGGGGGGAAGGAAGGGAGGGGGGAGAGGGACCCCGCGGAGCCCAGCCTTTGTTCTCCGCGCCCCGCGGAGGCTCGGCGCGCCCTTCCCCATGGGCGGGGGGGAGGGGGGGGACAAAACCCAACCTAACACCCCCCAACCCCCCCGTCGGAAAAAAACCCACCCTTCTATCAAATCAAAGAAGCCCCGGGCTGTGGGGTGGGGGGCGGCGGGGGGGCCCCGTTACCTGCCCTCCGTCTCTGCCCAGCGCTGCCCGCTCTCTGCCGCCTGCCCCGAGCCCCGCCGCGCTGCTATAAGCGGGGGGGGGTCTGGAGGAGCGCAATAAACCTTCCCCCGTTCGCCTGCTGCAGTCAATCCTTTCGCTCAGATCCCAAGTGGTGCAAAAAAAAGAGGAGAGGGGCCCATCTGGCTTCTCATCAGCTTTGTCAAGTCTTGCATACGCTAAAATGCTAATGACCTAGATAGCTCATGCAAAATGCAGCAGAGAGAGGAGAGGGAGGGAGCAGCGAGGGAGGGAGGAGGGAGGAGGGAGGGGGAAAGGCAGAGGGAGGGGGAGAGCCCGGGTGCATCACCCCCCCCGTCCCCAGCACCCCCCAGCCCTGGCTGCCCAATGCACCTTGGTAGGTACGAGCCGGGCTTTGATTTGAAAGGTCAACCGGGTACGATGAGAGGGGGGGGCGGGCAGAGCCCACGGATAAACCGCCCTGGCTTCATCCTTCATCCCCCCCCCGCCCCAGCCCTCCAGGGGGGAAGAAAGGGCGCGGGGGGGGCGCTGGGAGCGCAGCCCCCACTGCATCCCCCCTCCCCCGTGGGGTGCTGAGGGGTGTCCTGTCTATCCAACCCCCCCTCTCCCGGCCCGACCCCAACCCAAACCCGACCCCCCCCAAGAAGAGGAGCGAAGGAAATACCCCCTGCGGCAGCCCCGCCGTGGTCCCTCCGTCCTGCAGCCGGTGCGGAGCGCGGCCAGGCGCGTAATCCCGCGGAGGATGCTCGGGGAGGCAGGGGGTGGGATGTGCCCCCCCCCCCCCCCCCGCGCTATGCGGAGGGGGGTGAAAATTATATATATATATAAATAAAAAAAAAAATGTATATAGAAAAGAAAAGGGAAGGAGGGGGCTGGAGCCAGGCCGGCGGCGGGAGCGGAGCGGGCGGCCGGAGGGTGCGGAGGGAGCGCGGAGCAGCCGGGCGGGCGCTGCGCGGAGCGCGGAGCTGTCAGCGGCGCCTTCTCATTTATCATTAGCCAGCCCTAATCTTGCTCGCTGTCCTCCTTCGGTGATGTTGATTCACTTTCCCTCCCTCCTCCCCCAGCTCCCCCCCACACCCCCCCCCCCCCTCCCCGTTTTTTCCCGCACACCCCCTCCCCGTAAAGGATTATTCAGCCAAAAAAAAAAAAAAAATCCCAGCTGCTGACTCCGTGCGCCGCAAACAAGGCGGCTGCAGCCCTCGCCCCCAGCCCCGCTCCCGCAGAGATGCTCCGGGTGTTGTCCGCAGAAATGCTGCCTTTTAAAACAAGGAGCGACCCGCGGGGAAAGAGCCTCCAGCCCTGCCCAGCTCCCCCCGCAGCCCCCCGCACCCTCCACCCGCTCTGGGGGGGCTGCGGGGGGGAACCCCCTGCCCTGGCCCCCCCAAACCCCGCTGCGGAGAAAGGATGCTGCAGAGCTGGGTGCAGCTTTGCAGGGGGAGAGAGAAAAAAAAAAAAGGTATTTAAAAAAAAAAAAAAAAAAAGAAGAAAGTACCAATTTTGGCCGAGGCTTCGCTTTCTCTCCCCCTCCCTCCCTCACCCCCAGCACTGCTGGTTTCATGGCTACGCTACTGTAATTATGAATTCTTCTTCTTGCGACTCGCGTGTGTGCAGGGGCTGGGGGTGGCAGTGGCTGTGGCTGCGGCTGACATCACTGCAGTGGCGTGGGGCTGACAGCTCCCAGCGCTGCGCAGCCTGCAGTGGCTCCTCAGCTTTTTTTGCAGCCTCTCTGCTGACAGTTGTCAGGGAAAAGGAAAGGGGGGGAATAATAATAATAATAATAATAATAATAATAATAATAATAATAATAATGATACCCAAACCAAGCAACGAACCCACCCCATCTCACTGCGTTCAAGGTGAATTTCAAGGAGAAGAGCGCGGTTTTTGTTTGTGGCGAGGAGCGCACGCCGTGGTTATCCACACGTTTATATCCAGGGATATCTACACATTCCCAGCATCACCAGTCCCGGTCGGGCACCCTGTTAGACCCTGTAACCTTGTCAGGGAGCTGCACAGCCTGACCTGGGCTAAAACCTCGGCTCAAGCAGGCTCTGAAGGCAGGAAATCCTTTATTACTCGCCGGGTGATTTGGTGTCAAGGGCATGTGCCCGCTCCTGGGATCTCTCTGCACAAGCCGCAGCTCCTGAGATCATTCCAGCGCCACACCGAGTCGCAGCGCACGTCTCTTCCTTCCATCCCTTCCCATTGCACGAACACAAACACATCCCCTCTCTCCTCTTTTCCTTTTTCCCTCCCCAGTCGAGGCCTAGAAGTTGCTGAGAAAAACCCGCATGGAAGCGCGAGGAGGTGGTCGGTACCCTGAGTGTGGGTCTGGGTGCTCAGAGAGGGGCAGGAGCGTCCAGCTCTGAGTAAGCACAAGAACCTTGGGCACATTGGGGGTCCAAAACATGTGGCTGGAAACCTCTGGGAGCCTTTGCCCTTTCCCCTTAGTGCTGTCTCACAGTCCTACCGTTTGTGTTCCCGTTGCCTTAATGACATTTCACTTAACGCATCAGATCTGAGGAGTTTTCAAGGAAAAGCTAGAAATTAGCTGTCAAAAATGGTTGGGGAGAGCCACCAGCTCAGCCACAGAAATCTTTCCGCCTGCCCTTTATACCATCACCCCCCTCAAAGCATGACACAATATTATTAGCTTAAAGAAAAAAACAACCCCAAACCCTATTTACCCTGAGAGAGCAACTCCACAGTACACCTCCCTTGAGCCGTTTGCAATTCAAATAAGGCCTCGAACGGCGCAGATTTTAAGGTCTGGCTGACAGAAGCCAACAGCCAGAGCATCCCTCTGAGACTGCCACGCTTCCAACCGCAGCTGGAGCCACGGGGCCACGCGAGCATCCATCCCTGCCCCGCAGGCAGCTGCCCAGCGGGGACCGGGATGGGGTCACGGTGCTGCCTAATTCATCCCCTCCTTGGTTCCCTGCCCTGGAGATTTATGGGGAGCTGAGGTGGTTTATTTAAAAATAAATAGATGAGTTTCGTGGCAGGTTAGAGGTGAACGGTTGCAATTTCAATATTTCCCTGAAATTACTTCTGCTTGTTTTTTTATGAACATTTATTTTTTATCTCTCTGTAAGACCTTTCCTTTTGAGGAGCCGAAGGCACCTTGGGAGTCTGCAAAAGCCCTGATCCCAATGGCAATTTGAAGGAAGGAAATGCAATTCTCTCTCTAAGAGGGGAAACTGAGGGTCGGGGGCTTTGGGGAGGTTTTGTCACCCATCCTTCATGGCTTCAAGTGGAACGGAACCATGGATGGAAATTATGGGAGCAGCAGGGGGACACAGACCCAGAACAGGGCTTGCAGCCCTCAGGGCTGGGCAAAATGGCTTTGTCAATGGACACAGGGATTTTCTGCCTGAATTTCAGCTGACACGGGGCTGGATGTCACGTTATAAACCTGTGCTGGATTAAAGCTCAAAGGGCTCTTCCAGGGCCTTTTCCAGCTCACCCTCCTGCCCGTCGCCCGTCACGTTGGCCGAGGATATTTAAAACCCGCTCGGAAATACATTACCCTCCCTTAAAAACATAAATCCTCGGACTTAAGCGGTGATCCATCCCCTCCCTGTGCACTATTAGCACATTAAGAAATTAAACGATAAAACTCCCAAAGATCCGATTGACTGGGATCGCGCCGCTCCATATGGCACAGCATATGTGTCCGGCCCTCGGCCGGGATGTGCTCGGCCAGGCTGGGCTGGGAAAGGGGTTTCAAGGCAAATTCAGATGGATTCAGAGCTACTTCTTTTTTTTTTTTTTTAATTTTTTTTTTCCTCCTCTCACGACATTTCACTTCTCTGCTCCACCCCCAGCGCCAGAGGGAAAGCTGTGGAGGTGATGTATGTCCCTAAATAAGGATGCAGAGCCTAGCTTTGCTGGAGGAGGTCAGGTGAGGCTATTTAACGCTTTGCAGCCTCCTCGAAGGCTTTAGAAAATGATGCCAAACCCCCAAAGCCACCTCCCCACAAGCAGCTTCACGTCTGCTGGGGATGATGGCAGAGGTGATGCTGGGGGAATGGGTCCCTGCAGGTGGAGGGAAAAAGTCCCTTTCCTTCCCTACCCACTCCAGGATAAATCCCCTTGCAGCAAACAAAGGGCTCTGGGCCTCGCTGGGAGCTTTCCCCGAGTGACAACGCAGGGTTTCTAAAAGCCTTTAGAGGCTTTTTCACCACTTTGGTGGAATTTAAACCTTTCCTTTAATTTCTTTCTGGGGCTCACTTGAATTGTTAAACGCTGTGTGAGGGGAGCAAAGATGGCAGCTGGATTCATCCCTGTGCCTGGCACTGCGGGATGGACGGGTGGACAGAGCCTGCACCACAAAACTTAGCTCTAAACATGACCTAAACCAGCTTAGCAGGGATATACATGGAGAAAGGGATTAACCCCCCTCGCTCCCCAGCCAGGAGCAACAAATCCCATTAACACCCCATCCCTGGGAGGGGAAACTCTGCATCCACTGGTCCCCGAAATAGGGACCTGCCGCATCGAGTGAGTTATTTATTTCAAATAAAGATCCCAGCCCGTGGCAATGTCTTCTGCAGAAGCTCCGTGGTGAGAATTAGGGATTTTTGTGGGAAGCTTCGGCATCGCTGCGAACCAGCCTGGCCGTGTTATCCTGGAGCAACGCCTGCGCTGGCTGCTCACCTCCTAAATAGTTAATTCCTGGAGACTGTGAGAAGGTTAAATATGTATCAGGATCAGAAGCAGTTACCTATAGCTCCCCTTTCTGCAGGATTTCTCAGGGTTACTCAGAGAACTGGGATCAAAATTCGGCAAGAGGGGGATGAAAAATCTCCCTCTGCCTGAAAAACCCGTCTCTCCCCCAAGTAATTTGATTTAAAGCAGGGGAATTACTCACTGAGGTGATAGGTAGGAACCGTGCAAAATATAGTGGGGGGAAAAAGAAGCTGTTAGAGACAACAGCAGGAGAAAAACTCTGTTATCTATGGTAACAGTCTGGAGACTGATTTATCCAGCGTATAAATAGAGCGGGAGAGGCTTTCGTGCTGTAGACGCTCTGATGGGGAAGTGAGAGTTGATTTTACCCTCCCTTTCAGGTTCAGCTTGATAGGAAAACTTCCCATTGATGCAGCAGCTCCACGGAGTGAGACATGGCACCAAATTCCAGAGGAAAAGGGCCCAAACTT